TTTGGCACGATTATGGCAAATAAATTCAAAAGTAGTTTTTTTAATTTTCGCGTTAAAAAGAAAGGAGATCTTAGGATTCAGCAGTGTCACTAAAAGGTAATGATTAAAACAAAAGATAAGTTTTCCATGAGCTTTGGCAGTGAGTTGAAATTAATTTACAATGAACTCAAAACTGTTCAGAAGGGAAAAACTGTTTAAATAAACTACTTTTCACTCTAGGCCTACTAAATGTTTAATTCAGTTGTTAAAATGTTGATGATTCGCTTTCAATTTTCGTTGACGATCTTCACCCATTTTATTTCGATTCTGCCGATGCACTTTATTTAGTTGCATTATAGGCTTTTTAATTATATTTGCTGTCGGTCGCTGAAAATAGCTAAACGCTTCTCAGTTGTAAATAACTATTAAAATAAACGAAACTAAATAAAAGAACACGAAATAAAAACAGGTACGAAAAAAAAGCGAGAAGCAAAACTCGACAGAACAGAGAAAAACCAAATTTTAAACTGTTCGTAATACTAAAATCTCCGTAGTTTTTCAGCCGGTCGCTGAAATCGGCTAAACGCTTCTCAATTGCCAGTAGCTACTAAAAACGAAACAAAACAAAAGAACACGAAATGAAAACAAGGCACAAAAAAAAGCGAGAAGTGAGAAAGCCTATTATTCGTTTAATTCAGTTGATAAATTGTTGATGATTCGCAGTCAATTTTCGTTGACGATCTTCACCCATTTTATTTCGATTCTGCCGATTGAGTTTACCATGATGCACTTTAGTCAATCGCATTGTAGGCGTTTTTAATGATATTTACTGTCGGTCGCTGAAAATAGCTCAACGCTTCTCCATTGCCAATTACTGCAAAGCAACAAACCAAATCAAAAGAACACGAAATAAAAACAGGTACGAAAAAAAAGCGAAAAGCAAAACACTATAGGACAGAGAAAAACCAAATTTTAAACTCTTCGTAATATTCAAAACTCCAGAGTTTTTAACGTGGTTTTATATCTAGCGACTCTCCACTTATTTTGGAAATAATCAAATTTTGAACAGAAGGAAAAAGGTGAGAAAGACATTTTCATGATTAGTCAGTTTTCTTCCGATATTGTTCGGATCACTAAAACGAGTTTCATTCTAGGCCTATTAGTTGTTTAATTCAATCGTTAAATTGTTGATGATTCGCCGTCAATTTTCGTTGAGGATCTTCACCCATTTTATTTCGATTCTGCCGATGACATTTACCATGATGCACTTTATTCAGTTGCATTATAGGCTTTTTTTAATGATATTTGTTGTCGGTCGCTGAAAATAGCTCAACGCTTCTCAATTGTAAATAACTGTTAAAAAGAACGAAACAAACCAAAAGAACACGAAATAAAAACAGGTACGAAAAAAAAGCGAGAAGCAAAACTCGACAGAACAGAGAAAAACCAAATTTTAAACTGTTCGTAATACTAAATTCTCCAGAGTTTTTAAAAGGACCAATTTTGACAGCAATCGGTTTTACAGATCGATGACGCCGGTAAAATAGTTATGTCATTCGTCACCACGAAATAAACACGAAATAAAAACAGATACGAAAAAAACAAATTGTTGATGATTCGCTGTCAATTTTCGTTGACGATCTTCACCCATTTTATTTCGATTCTGCCGATTGAGTTTACCATGATACACTTTATTCAGTTGCATTGTAGGCGTTTTTAATAATATTTGCTGCCGGTCGCTGAAATCGGCTAAACGCTTCTCAATTGTCAGTAACTGCTAAAAACGAAACAAAACAAAAGAACACGAAATAAAAACAGGCCCAAAATAAAAAAGCGAGAAGTGAGAAAGCCTATTATTTGTTTAATTCAGTTGTTAAAATGTTGATGATTCGCTGTCAATTTTCGTTGACGATCTTCACCCATTTTATTTCGATTCTGCCGATTGAGTTTACCATGATACACTTTAGTCAATTGCATTGTAGGCGATTTTAATGATAATTGCTGTCGGTCGCTGAAAATAGCCAAACGCTTCTCAATTGCCAATAACTGCAAAAAAACAAAGCAAATCAAAAGAACATGAAATAAAAACAGGCACGAAAAAAAAAAACGAGAAGCAGAACTCTAGAGAACAGAGAAAAACCAAATTTGAAACTGTTTATAATACTAAAATCTCCGCAGTTTTTAAAAGGACCAATTTTTATAGCAATCGGTAATAAAGTTATGTTATTCGTTACCAGATGGTGGCAAGTGTTAACGATCTCTTACTTGACTGACTCATTTGAAATAATAATAATGCCCAAAGAGATGTTTTATTTTGGCACGATTATGGCAAATAAATTCAAAAGTAGTTTTTTTAATTTTCGCGTTAAAAAGAAAGGAGATCTTAGGATTCAGCAGTGTCACTAAAAGGTAATGATTAAAACAAAAGATAAGTTTTCCATTAGCTTTGGCAGTGAGTCGAAATTAATTTACAATGAACTCAAAACTATTCAGAAGGGAAAAACCGTTTAAATAAACTACTTTTCATTCTAGGCCTACTAAATGTTTAATTCAGTTGTTAAAATGTTGATGATTTGCTGTCAATTCTCGTCGACGATCTTCACCCATTTTATTTCGATTCTGCCGATGCACTTTATTCAGTTGCATTATAGGCTTTTTTAATTATATTTGCTGTCGGTCGCTGAAAATAGCTCAACCCTTTTCAATTGTAAATAACTAAATTCTCCAGAGGTTTTAAAAGGACCCATTTTTGATAACAATCGGTTATACAGACTAATGACGCTGGTAAAATAGTTATGTCATTCGTCACCACGAAATAAACACGAAATAAAAACAGGTACGAAAAAAAAAAAAAGTAGGCGAGAAGCCGAACTCAACAGAACAGAGAAAAACAAAATTTTATTTTATTTTGTGTCATCGTGGATTGTGGCTTTATATCTAGCGACTCTCCATTTACTTTGGAAATAATCAAATTTTCAACAGAAGGAAAAAGGTGAGAAAGACATTATCTTCATTAGTTGTTTTCTTCTGATATTGTTCGGATCACTAAAACAAGTGTCATTCTAGCCTATTAGTTGTTTGATTCAATTGTTAAATCGTTGATGATACGCTATCAATTTTCGTTGAGGATCTTCACCCATTTTATTTCAATTCTGCCGATTGAGTTTACCATGATGCACTTTATTCAGTTGCACTGTTGGCGCTTTTAAAAACATTTGCTGCCGGTCGTTGAAATCGGCTAAACGCTTCTCAATTGCCAATAACTGGAAATCAAAAAAAAAGGAGAGAACATTTTGAAAACAAGGCACGAAAAAAAAATACGAGAATAGCAGAAAATACATCTAGAGAACAGAGAAAAACCAAATTTGAAACTGTTTATTACTAAAATCTCCGGCCAATTTTTATAGCAATTGTAAAAGTTAATCGTCAGATGGTGGCAAGTGTTAACGATCTCTTACTTGACTGACTCATTTGAACTGCTGTCAATTTTCGTCGACGATCTTCACCCATTTTATTTCGATTCTACCGATTGAGTTTACCATGATGCACTTTATTTAGTTGCATTGTAGGCGTTTTTAACAATATTTGCTGCCGGTCACTGAAATCGGCTAAACGCTTCTCAATTGCCAATAACTCCGAAAAAACAAACCAAATTAAAAGAACACGAAATAAAAACAGGTACGACAAAAAAAAGCGAGAAGCAAAACTCGACAGAACAGAGAAAAACCAAATTTTAAACTGTTCGTAATACTAAAATCTCCGGAGTTTTTAAAAGGACCAATTTTTACAGCAATCGGTAATGGAGTTACGTTATTCGTCACCAGATGGTGGCAAGCGTTAACGATCTCTTACTTGACTGACTCATTTGAAATAATAATAATGCCCAAAGAGATGTTTTTTTGGCACGATTATGGCAAATAAATTCAAAAGTAGTTTTTTTAATTTTCGCGTTAAAAAGAAAGGAACAAAACAAAAGAACACGAAATAAAAACAGGTGCGAAAAAAAGCGAGAAGTGAGAAAGCCTATTATTTGTTTAATTCACTTGTTAAATTGTTGATGATTCGCAATCAATTTTCGTTGACGATCTTCACCCATTTTATTTCGATTCTGCCGATTGAGTTTACCGTGATGCACTTTAGTCAATCGCATTGTAGGCGTTTTTAATGATATTTGCTGTCGGTCGCTGAAAATAGCTCAACGCTTCTCAATTGTAAATAACTGCTAAAAAACGAAACAAAACAAAAGAACACGAAATAAAAACAGGTACGAAATAAAAAGCGAGAAGCAAAACTCGACAGAACAGAGAAAAACCAAATTTTAAACTATTCGTAATACTAAATTCTCCAGAGGTTGGACCCATTTTTGACGGCAATTGGTCATACAGACCGATGACGCCGGTAAATTAGTTATGTCATTCGTCACCACAAAATAAACACGAAATAAAAACAGGTGAAAAAAAAAAAAAACCAGGCGGGAAGCAGAATTCTACAGAACAGAGAAAAACCAAATTTTAAACTCTTCGTAATATTCAAATCTCCAGAGTTTTTAAAAGGACCAATTTTGACAGCAATCGGTTATACAGTCTGATGACGCTAGTCATGTCATTCGTCACTGCTGAAAAAAAACCAAAACAAAACACGAAATGAAAACAAGTACGAAAAAAATAGAGCGAGAGGGAAAACTCGGCAGAAAAAAGATAAACTAAATATTGAACTGTTCGTAATGCTAAATCTCCGAAGTTAGTAAAAGCACCAATTTCGACACGTCTCGTTTACAACAGTCCAGTGACGCTAGTAAAATAATTACGTTATTCGTTACCCGATGGTTGCAAGCGTTAACGATCTCTTACTTGATTGGCTCATTTGAAATAATGATGATGCCCAAAGACATGTTTTTTTTTCGGCACGATTATGGCAAATTTATTCAACAGTAGTTTTAATTTGCGCATTAAAAACAAAGGAGATCTTAGGACACAGTGGTGTCACTAAAACATAACGATTGAAACAAAAAAATTAAGTTTTTTCATTAGCTTTGGCAGTGAGTTGAAATTAATTTACAATTAACTCAGAACTGTTTAAAGGGAAAAACTGTTTAAATAGATTATTTTAGTTAACACGCACTTAATTCTACACCAGATGGTTGCAATGGGACAATTTTGATGTCCTCTTATTGGCTCCCTTCGAAGTGAGGTCATAAACATATAAAGATAATAGTTATTGGACTCTGAAATACATCCTCATGCAAAATACTCGTCATATTCTAGTTACTATTTGGTTTAAAGCTCAAATTTTATTTCGAACTGCTGAAAACAAATTGGGTAGGAAAAAAAAGCGAGAAAAAACTCTACAGAACAGATGTTCGTAATATTCAAATCTTTAGAGTTTTTAAAAGGACCAATTTTGACAGCAATCGGTTATACAGTCTAATGACGCCGGTAAAATAGTTACGTTATTCGTCACCAGATGGTTGCAAGCGTTAACTGTTTTACTTGATTGACTCTTCTGAAATAATGATGATGCTCAAAGAGATTATGGGCACGATTATGACAAATTTATTCAAAAGCAGTTTTAATTTGCACATTAAAAACAAAGGAGATCTTAAGATTCAGCGGTGTCACTTAAACATAATGATTAAAACAAAAAAATCAGTTTTTCATTAGCTTTGGCAGTGAGTTGAAATTAATTTATAATTAACTCAGAACTGTTTAGAAGGGAAAAACTGTTTAAATAAACTATTCTTAGTCAACACTTACTTAATTCTACACCAGATGGTTGCAATGGAACAATTTTGATGTCCTCCTATTGGCTCGCTTCAAAGTGAAGTCATAAACATTTAAAGAATATAGTAATTGGATTCTGAAATGCATTCTTATGCAAAATCCATGTCGTCCTCTTCCTTTTCATTTTTTGTTATCACGTAACGAGGTTTTATATTTAGCGCCTCTCCACTTTTTGGGAATGACCAAATTTTTTTAACAGAAGGAAAAAGTTGAGAAAAGTATTATTATGATATCACTTGTTTTCTTCTGGTATCGTTCGGATCACTAAAACATGTTTCATTCTAGGCCTATTAGTTGTTTAATTCAATTGTCAAAGTGCGCTGTGTATAATCAATTTTCGTTGACGATCTTCACCCATTTTTTTTTTTATTCTGCCGATTGAATTTACCATGATGCACTTAGGTCAATTGCATCGTAGGGTTTTTAATTTTATCCGTTGTTGGTCGTTGAAAATAGCTAAACGCTTCTCAATTGCTTATTACTGCAAAAAAAACAAAACAAAACAAAACACGAAATGAAAACGGTTACGCAAAAAAAAAAAACAAACAAAAAAAATGCGAGAAACAAAACTCGACAGAAAAAAGATAAACTAAATATGAATCGTTCGTAAATTTGCTAAATCTCCAGAGTTTCTAAAGCACCAGTTTTGACAGCTATTGGTTACAACAGTCCAGTGACGCTAGTAAAACAATTATGTTATTTGTGACCGGATGGTTGCAAGCGTTAACGATCTCTTACTTGATTGGCTCATTTGAAATAATGATGATGCCCAAAGACATTTTTTTTTGGTACGATTGTGGCAAATAAAAGCAAAATAAGTTTTCCATTAGCTTTGGCAGTGAGTTGAAATTAATTTACAATAAACTCAGAACTGTTTAGAAGGGAAACAGTTTAAATAAACTATTTTTAGTTAACACGCACTTAATTCTACACCAGATGGTTGCAATGAAACAATTTTGATGTCCTCTTATTGGCTCGCTTCAAAGCAAAGAAAATAGTCATTGTATTAAAAAATGCATTCTTATGCAAAATCCATGTCCTCTTCCTTTTTATTGTTTGTGTTACCACGTAACGAGTTTTTATAACTAGCAAATAACCACTTCGTTTCGAAATGATCAATTTTTCAACAGAAGGAAAAGTTGAAAAAGGTATTATTATCATATTATTTGTTTTCTTCTGCAAGTATCAAAACTCGACAGAAAAAGATAAACGAAATATTAAACTGGTCGTTATACTAGAATCTCCAGAGTTTCTAAAAGGACCAATTTTGATAGCTATCGGTTTCAACAGTCTAATGACGCTGGTAAAATAATTATGCTTCTCGTCACCAGATGGTTGCAAGCGTTAACAATCTCTTACTTGATTGGCTTATTTGAAATAGTGATAATGCCTAAAGAATTTTTTTTTGGGCACGATTACGGCAAATACATTCAACGGTAGTTTTATTTTGCGCATTAAAAATAAAGGAGATCTTAGGATTCAGCGGTGTCACTGAAAGGTAATGATTAAAACAAAAAATAAGTTTTCCATTATCTTTGGCAGTGAGTTGAAACTGTTTAAATAAACTACTTTTCATTCTAGGCAATAGCTTTGGCAGTGAACTGAAATTTATTTACAATTAGTTTAAAACTGTTTAGAGGGGAAAAACTGTTTAAATAAACTACTTTTAGTCAACACTAAATTCTACGCCAGATGGTTGCCATGGGACGATTTTACCGTCCTCTTATTGGCTCGCTTCGAAGTGAAGTCATAAACATTCCAAGAATATAGTTATTGGTTCTGAAATACATTCTTATGCAAAATATTCGTCATCTTCATCCTTTTTATTGTGAATCTCCACTTTGTTTGGGAAGGCTTTTTAATTTTATATGTTGTTGGTCGCTAGAAATAAATGAACGCTTCTCAATTGCTGATAACTGCTGAAAAAACAGTCCAGTGACGTCAGTAAGCTAATCATGGTATTTGTTACCAGATGGTTGTACGCACTAAAGATGTATTACTTGATTGGCATTTTTTAACATAATAATGATGTCATAAGTTTAAATTGTGATGAACCGAAAGAATAATATGCTTTTTTGAAGATTGCTCGTCGAGCTAGGAAAAAATTAAAGCTACATGATTATTTATATGTCTATAAATCATTACTATTTATATCATCCTCATAAATGATATTTTTTTCATTATTACCAATATCCTCATCATTATAATTATATAAATTCTCATGATCACCATTGTCTTTTCTATCTCAACAGAACAGTAACGGAGGATTTATTTTAGGAAATATGTAGCACCAGAGGTAAATGCTCATTTGAAACGCGTCTAACTTTTACATTGATGTTCAACGGTGCTTTATCAAGTTTCGTTATAAATGTCCCTGTTATTTTCGATATGATTTTTTATTTTTACACCGAACAAATTGGTTATAAAATTCCAGTGTAACTTGTCTAATTAGAATTTACTATAGATGGCTTTGACGAACAAATAACACAACTAATCAAAGCGTGACTAATTGAAGTCCTATCCTTAAGTGTTCCAGTTCCGTTTGAAAAACGCTCCGATTTCATCGTTAGCAATGTTTTTATTCTTGCAGATTGTGCAAGCGTTTTGAGTCACTGCCAAGGTGCAAGAAAGGTGAGGTGCTCCTTTTTCATTGCCACTTACATGTTTATCAGAAGTGCTACAATATCACCATAGGTGGCCGTAAATTAGTGACAAATTAATAACCCAGCGTGCTAAAAAATGAAATTCGTACTACGCAGATCACACATTAAATTGATAAAGTTTCCAAAAATTTTGCGGATGTTCGAAATGTGCTTTTTGGTTTTTTTTCCTCCAAATTTGTAGCAAGAAAATTCAATCACATTGTATTGGGTCATTGAGCAAAGTGGTTTCGAAGATATGGGAGTAGAAGAAGATAAACTTCTGATTCAGTACCCATTTCGTGTTATTAGGTGTGGTCCGAGAATATATGTTAGACACACCCAAAAAATTTAATAGCTTCCTTGGTGCTTGGGTGGTGATCGCCTATGTAGAGATATTATACATGCAGGTTCTGCCTACATAAAATCTCGACTAAAATGGGGGGGGGGGGGGGGGGGGGGGGGGGGGGAATGTTGTATCTTCTCGCAAAAATGTTGTGGCGTGCCTTGATTTGTTCTTCTGTTAAAATCGCGCCTCTGTAAATGAGAAGTTATTTCATTAATAAGTCACGCTTTCCAGCCCACGGTTAATGATGATGAGCTGAGCATCCGAGAGGATGAAGATATGACATTCAACATTCCCTGAACCCGATGCTTTCCTGTTAATTCCGAGCTCAACTTCTTTTTTATTCACCAATTTCAATCCACTTCCATGAAGATCCTTGTCTCTCATACTCCTGAGATCGATAAAAAGAGCGAATCTGTTTCCAGCGTAAAAGTCTGTTGCATTTATCGCGCTGTTTTCCTTACCAAATCTTCTGAAGACACTGATGCCCTCATTGATGATTGTGTCTAATCCCTTATCTACTGAGATTGTCTTGAGTGACGTGCTCACGCATGAATCTCTTTCCGATTTTTGTGGTTAGACAAGGCCTCATCAGCGAGTTCTTGACTGCGAATGACTTCATACTCAAGCTAATTTTATTCAATTCATAGGCAAGCTGCGTCTTGTCAGATCCTATTAGAACATTACTGGCAGGTGCAAGCCTGAGCTCGAAAAAGAGTTCATCAGAAAGAGCTCTTGGGAAGAATCCATGATTCTTCAGAATCTTATGATGGAATCCAATATTTGTTCTGATAAACAATCGAGCTTATTCTCATTGTCAACTCCTGATTTCTTCTTATCTTCAGCATTGCATCTGATCTTTCAAAGGTCAACAGACTGAATAACTTCTCTGAACATGCTCATCCTCTCATCCTCACTCAAGGAGAGGTCCTCATAGAGCTTGCATAGATCATAAACATCATTGTCCTGTGCGATTATTTCTGCGAATTTCATAGTCAATTTGTCAACAAGAGCTCTTGAAACATTGTCCACGATATAACTGTTTGCGTGACCACTAACTGCCGAGTCAAAGATAGGTTGAAAAGGTCCTGGCACAAGGGCATCTCTGTTATTATGCTTTGGAACTACACCTTTTACATAGGGCATAAACGCTGTGGACTTGAACTACGTCACAGGCCTTCGGCTTGGGGAGGAGTTTCCTGTTTTCGTGACCTTCTGTACAAAGGAAGAGGGAAAACCGTTAGAAACAAGAACTGATCAATGTCTCTTTTCCTTCATGACTGATGATTTTTTCGCGAGACGCTTCGCCCGGTCATGCAAACACTTAACAATACCGCGTCTTACTCATTGAGGGTGGTGTGAATCATGCGCTAAGTACTGATTTGTGTGAGTTGGTTTTCTGTAGACACTGTTGGTCAGGCGTCTGTATGGTTCCCTCATAACTGACGAGTCTTTCCATGGTGAATCGGATGGTAGGTTGCTGACTGTTGAGGTGCTGTAAGAGACAGTCCACATAACTGCGATCTAGGATGGTGATGGTTTCATCAACGTAGCGCTTCCAGATCTTGGGTTTCTGTGTTGTGGATTCTATTGCTTGTTCTTCAAATACCTCCATGTAGAGGTTTGCAATAACTGCTGAAATCGAGCTGTGCGCCCATACTTCTGGTCAATATCCGGTAAAAGAAGTTATTGCTGATCGTGGTGGCAAGTAATAATAAACTGTTTAATCGTTTGTCTCTCGATGTAGTCACTTGAGATGTAGATGGCGACGTTTCGATCGCCGTGATACAAATGGTAACGCGTGAGCAGTCGACCCCATCGCCTGATAAAGACAAGCAGTAAGCAGCCGAAACGTCGCGATCTACACCTCAAGTGATTACATCGTGAGACAAACGACTAAGCAGTTTATTAAAATCAAGGTTGTTTTCAAATGCGTCAGAATCTCCCTTTTCTAACTACTAGGGGGAGGGGGAGGGGGTGCTTATTTGAAGAAAGGCGCTTAATCGAGAGGGGCGCTTATTCAATTTTTTTTTCAACGTTATTGGAACTTTATATGGCTAAATATTAAATAGAAATACAACAAGAAGTATGCTACATAATCCACGAAGACGTTAAGTCAATATCAACATCTTTCAAGTGGAAAGACGTATTTGCTTCAAAAAAGATGACAGATGATAATGTAACTGGAACTTACAAATTGAAGCAGTTTAAAGCCTGTTGGTCACATTTTGATTGAGCGATAATTCCTCATCAACTGTTTCATCTAAACGCATACCAATAACTATATAATCGTAGATGTTACTGATCCTCGAGAATGGTCTGGTTGTGCTTGGGAAGTTAAGACCATTTACTAAGAGCGGAGCAATAGAAAAAAAATTCAAGCGCATAGATAATGCAAATAGAGGAACTCTGGAAGAACACGGATATAGGGATAACTGGAGTGTAAAAGACACTATTATTCTTACTGTTTCCGCTTTAAATGAGGGTTAAAAGTTATAAATAAATTGTCAATAGAAAAAGCCTTTTTTTGTATCCCTACTAATTAAGAAAGTGAGGAGGGGAGTGGGAGGGGCACATATTTGAGGGTATGGGTCTTATTTGACATTTTGGCCTAAAGGGTGGGGGCTTATTCGGGGGAGGGCTCTTATGCAAGAAAATATGGTACTTGAAAAATTCCAAAGAGTGTTGATCAAACATTACACCTTTGCAATCTTTAGTTACTTTAAGATAATTACAAGGGAACTTGTCGGAGATGGTATTACCATGATCCTTAGAAACTGCCACAAATGTGTTTAAATTCGTTTTCAGCTATAAGCTTTGTTTGAGTCCTTGTCAATTCTACACACTTTTGGTCCGTTCAGCTTATAACAAGATGGATTTTGAAAACGGAACAACATTCATTTCCTTCAAATAAATATGCTAATGTGAACAGTTTCAAGCTGAAAATTGGAGCTTTCTGTCGGCCACATTCATCTAAATTTGAATACGTGTTTTCTCGGTAACTATTCGTTGGAAATTTGATTTCTCAAGGAAATAATATCTTTAAAAAAAAAAATTTGAAATTACTCCAAGAATTCTATAATTTCAATGATTTTTATTACCAGTTGTTCTTTTCTGTTATCGGTGGGGATGATTGATTTGGTAACCCAACAGTCGGAGAATTACTTAATTTATTCCTTTCCTAAACAAGGAACGATTTGACGCCCTACAATCCCTTTTTTTTAATTAATTTTTTTATTACTTTTTGTTTCCATGAAGATTGTCATGAATCCTCGGGCTGTTCTATTGCTCACACTGGTGGCCGTTCCATGCACATCTGCGAGTAGGTTACCCCGTTGTTTTGTATGTTAAATTACTACTTTAATCATTTCCAAGGAAATAAGTTTTTCAAAAAAGCACAGTCTAACGGTGATGTTCTGCTTGGCTAAGGCATCATTAAACATAAAAGTTTCACTCATGTTATCGGCAAATTGACAGAACGAAAGCATAACAGCATACTACGGAGGATAGCTTTAGAATGTCATGAAAAATACATGTAGGTCAGTACATTTAGGGAAAACCATTTTGCAATAAAGCAAACTCAGGAGTATGGTGTCATTAAGAAAATATATCCGGCAAAGCCCACTCTAAACCTTCGTTGGAGCCTTCGAGAGAAAAGAAAGAAAACCATGGAAAACCATATCTCAATGAGAAGTTTATTTTGTGAGAATTTAATAAAATTAAAAGGGTAAACAGAAAGAAATGACCGAACGCCACTCCGTCGAAGTTAAAAAGTTAACAAACGTGATCTCTAATGAAATGTAACTGCACAGTGTCAATCACAATATATAAATATATATTTTTTTTAAAGCAAAAAAAAACCAAAAACTTTAAAAGTAAGCTGCGAAGTGCCCTTTCATATCACAAGATTCTCAACCTTCACAGTCAAAGTGATAGTGTAAAAATATATAGTTAGTGTCAACGATTGTTCACGATTCGTGTGATTCTTTTGATTATCTAGTAACTTGTAAAGCTGATCAGTTTGCTTGTGCAAATCAAGAAAAATGTATCCATGCGTCTCTACGCTGCGACACCCACAGGCAATGTAGCGATGGATCAGACGAACAATGCAGTAAGTATTGTACATTTTTTTTTCACATTTGTTGTGGGCTTAGCCTATCCCACTCCTAAAGTAATGTCAAAATAAATTATAATAACAAATGCTTTTTTGAAAAAAGAAAAAAAAAAAAAAGAGAGAGAGAGAGAAAGAAAAAAGAATTGTTTACCGAGAACCCCACATTTACAATAACATCTCCAGAACAGAGAAATATAAATATAAACTTTGACGCACGTTACATGCAATGAATTTCGCATCCGTCCATCTTTGGATACAGAGGACAATATGGACAAGATTCTTGTGATGGCCACAATCACTTTAACAACGAATGAAATAAACCGAAATTTGTTGACTGAGGCAGTATTAAATTACGTGATGTAGTGAGCTAATTTATCGTTGATGTATTACTTTGAAATTAATAATTTTAGAAATAGAGTCATCCATTGACATTGCCTTAATCGACTATCAAAATTGACCACAAAAAAGTCAACTTATAAGTCGTCTCAACGCAGGTAATACTAGATTGCTGTCACGAATACATCCTTCTCTGACAGACGAACTGTCGTCGCCCATGATAAACGACATGTAAATTTTTCCGAAAAAAAAAATTACAGAGCTTAGTGGTATTGTCATAATACTAGTAGACCATTTCAATAAGTTTTCGTTTTCTTTCATGTTTCACCTGGACGAATCAGCTGGCCGTAAGTACTTTAAATTCAGACTGTGATCTATTTGTGTGTCGTCTCAATATGTACTAATACAATAACAACATTAAGCAATTGTCGTATGATTGATTCGCCATTCCAAGTTGTCTTTAGTTTCTTTAAGTGGTTCATATGTAGCCATCAGGGACAATTAAACATGACTGAAGTATGAAAAAGGGTTTTTAGAGGAATAATGAAAAAGAATGAGGCATAACAAAAGAAAATTCAGCTGATTTCCTCCTGCTTGATAGGGAGGATAAAAACAAGAAAATTCATTCAAGATTTCATTTTTTTTATCATTATTTCCTTTGCCTTCTGTCAAGAAAGCTGATCGAATAAACCCTATAGAACGTAGTATCGTGTCCCTTCCTTTTTCCTTATCAACCCTCCTATAATTCCCAAATGCCCTTTTTTAAATTTCTTGCCTTTTCCTAACAAATGTAATGATTTTAAGCCCTTAAACCTAGGTAAAAGTTCATTCATTTTTAAACAAAAAAAAAAAGGCAAGGCTAAGGGTAAGCAGCAACCTTCTAGTTTCTGAAGACAATGTAGGTTAAATTTTATAAGTTGACATAGCTGCAACAACAGTAATTTGAAAAACAAAACCAAATATGTCGTAGAATAGGCTATTAGTCGTGGTAAATAACACTTCAAAGGGAAATATAATTGTTTGTCTCACGATGTGGTCACCTCGGTGTGGATCGCGACGTTGTGACTGCATTCTGCCAGTTTTTTTCCAAGAGATGAGGTCGATTGAGTACGCGTCCCCTATATGCTGTTAAGCGCAGCAAAACTATTTAACGGATAATAAACTCAGTAGCCTCCATTTTTCTCCAAACAAATATGATAATCTATTTGTCCCTGGAAATCGTTGTTCTTCGAAGCTCACATTTTTCGAGCTTTTCTTTCAGAAATTTGTTTATTCTCGAACAGACTATGTCCGCGGACTAATATCCAAGACTATTTTAGCAACAAAAGGAGGCTAATGGTTATTAATAATCGGGGAGTCAAACTGAACGTTGCAATGTGCACTACCATGTCTTAACTTCCAGTTTTTGGTTGTTCATTTCCTTTGTCTTACGAGCAGAGGCTCAATGTTGCATGTCTTTCAATAAGCAATCATTGGGTGAGCTTGAACAGGATAAAATAGATTATGAAAACGAAAACCGATCGAGGTCTGAGTTATTAACACAGACACAAGGTTCGATGATTTATGATCTCATGCGAAAACCAAATAACCCATTTCAGAATCGTTAAGTGCCTGCATCGAATTCTCGCGTGGGAGCGAGGCTAGGTGCTCACTTAGCGGCGCGAAAATATAAGTGTTCTTAAGAATTTCTAGAAGTTGTAACACAAAAAATAAGAAAAAAAATAAGACTAACCACAATATGGTTCGTTGCTCAGAAGCTTTGTATCGGTAGACTAATCGTAACCTGGAAGACCTGTCTTTCTTCGATTTCCTATGGACAAACGATTTTCTGTTTTAAGTTGAAATTCTGCCGTAAAGCTAATAGCAAGTTCGAAGAAGAGCAAAGGGAGGCAATAACTGGCGAGGAACACAACTTAAGGAATTATAACGAGTACTCTGCTAATGATTCTCATCGAAAACACTCAACGGTTGACGTGTCTTAAACGGTTATGCAACACCAACAACATTTCAAATCCACGAAAAAACTGAAAAAAGAATGAAAGTTGAGATAAAGGTACTGAAAAACCATCTTCGCCGAAAGGGTCCTATGTCAAATAAAAAAAAAATTTAATAAAAGTGCAAAGCGCAGCACCACTGATCCTGTATAACATAATACGATCGCATCTATGCCAAACCGCTAAGTAGTCATCATGGCCGCAGAGAGGACAATTTCCATTCGAACACAAACCGATAGCTTTAAACGATATCCAACAGTGGCAAAACGAGTTAATTCGGTTGCGCCAGGAAATGAAGCAATGCAGCATAAACTGCAAGAAAAGCCTACTACAAACAAAAGTTTGTATGTTTTTTCGAAATATCAGTATGATCTGCAGATATCTGTTTATCAATCCAAAAAATGACTAAAAGGACACAAAAACAAGTTAAAATAGATTGCAGTGTTTATATTTACAAAACAACACGCATACACTCCGAAACAATTCTTGGAGTTTCTCCCGAGATTTAGTATACGGAACCCGATGAACTAACCTTCCTTTCTGCAAATTTGTTTCCGTCATTAGTGATGTTACGCTCTTATGGACCACAACGGTTTTGAGCGACAAACTCGAAATCAACTGGACAAACCAAGCTTGATGAATTGCGTGACGTGATTGTGCAAACTTTGAAACGACGACCTCCGCAGGTTCTACTGTTATTCAAATGGACTGGAACAATAAAGAATTTAAAAATTTTGAGACAAAAATTCGTCAAAATATAAAACAATTAGACACAATTTGTCAAAAATGAGGCAGTGACAAAAATTCGTTTGTCTTAAAAGCTGCACCAGCTTGATTGAACTCAAAATTTATTGTCCTTTGATTTTGTCAAGAGAATTCTGGTTTTGTCTGCTATTGCAGATAGCCCAGATAGGCACTTACGAACCAATTTTTAGTTAAATAATAGCCTTAACTCTCGAGAAATTGCAAATATATTACTCATGTGATACGAATACAACTTAAATTCCGAAAACTTCAAAAACATCTCCAGTCAGTCTGGCTTTCTTTTACTGCCTCACATTTTCCCTTGTGCTGTGGCTGTTAACAAGTACCTCCACCGCATTTCTAATGTTTCTTAAAGTGTTCAGATGTTTAGAACATACCAATAACTGTTATATCTTTTTCCATATCGTGGTCAAACTGACCGGAACGAAACAAAATTAACTTGTAATCGAGGATTTCGCTGGATAGCTGGTAGTACTACAAATAACTCGATACGTCGTCCCAGGAAAGAAATCAGGGCTTAAATATCCAAAGCCACTCCAATCTTTGCTTTCCGTGAATCAAGTAAACCTTTTTAAAAGTTAAAATTCTCATTAAAATGTAATTCAGTCCATTTTAATAACTTTCGATTCTAATTTGTTACACTAACTAATTTTGGTTTCAATTTGTAGAACCCGCGAAACAGGCCATATGGCAAGGGGAAAAATTTGCACAATCACGTCACGCAATATATCAAGCTGGGTTTGTCCAGTTGAGTTTGATAGTCGCAGAGAAATGTCGAGTTTGTCGCTCAAAACCGTTGTGGTCCATAACAACATAACATCATTAGTTATGGAAACAAATCTGCGGAAAGGAGGGTTAGTTCATCGGGTTCCGTATACTAAATCTCGGGAGAAACTGCAAGAATTATTTCAGAGTGTATGCGTGTTGTTTTGTAAATATAAACACTGCAACCTATTTTAACTTGTTTTTGTGTCCTTTTAAGCAACGCGATATGTTTGTTATGACCAGAGTGCTAAATTTTATTCTTTAATTTTGATCTTCTCCACACTGTGCATAGTTCATGACCTGATATTTCAACGTAAATTATCGAGAAGGCGCCTTCCGATCACCTTTGTCTACTTTGTAAGTCACGCAAGCGCGCAAGCGTTACGACCGATCACGTTTACGCAACGTTTTAGGACAACTCGGCATCTAATCTCCATTCAGTTGCTGTGAAAACCTAAAATCCTCAACGTAGAAGATAAACGAACGAAGTTTGAACTGTCAAAAGGAGATCTTGGTCAATTCCAAGAATCATGCAAATGATCTTTGACACGAGCGCAATTGAGCAAACACATGGATTTGCGTTGTTTTTAAGAAGTTGGTGGATGGAAGCTAGAGATATACCCGCGGGTTTGAGGCAATCCGTGACCTCATTGGTGTATAAACTATGCACTGATATGCTTTTTCGGCCCGATTAACGCCTGCATTTTGAGAATTCTTTCGTACAAAGTAGTAAATTTTTGATATGCAAATTAAGGTCGAAGAGAAGGGTCTCCTCTGATCACGCTGGTATGAAAAATATTTCAGCTGAAGTTTCCATATTTTGTCTGTGAACTAACTGAATACACCTTGTAACTTGTAGCAAGATAGAATTCCGTGAGCTACATTGTTGCAGTCGCTGCGCGCTGGACAAAATCTTTGAAATTGACACTTTCGATCGCTGTTCACAGGGGTGGTCTGGCCAAAAATCATTTTTGGCTTGTGGCGACGCAAAAAAAGAGAATTGGAGAACAACTAAACTATTTTTGAAACATGTGTCCTAAACCCTTTTCATGGGCAAAAAATAAAAGAAAACTTTTTTCCGACGGGAAGTCGAGAGGACCGCTCTTAGCGAGAGTGGCACTTAAATGTTCTGAGGTTCTCGACTGAGTGGTCATCTTTCCCAACTAAGTAGTCATACAAATGTGAACTCTGGTATTTTGACAAATTTTTGAGACCAAGAACCCAAAAAAAAAAGGGATAAGGAGGTTGCCCCTCGTTTGTGTGGAGCTTTTTCTCTAACTTCCACTCAAAAGATTCCACGACCTCTTCGATTTTTTACACATTTTTACACAACTTTAAAACTTTCAGCCCTTCTCTCTCCTCTTATCACTCAGCTGAATTCCCCGATCGAAAAGATATTTTCTCAGTTTGTCTACCTTAATCGCGGAGAAGTTCGAAGTTTCTCCGGACGGTATTGCTATGTTCACCAAGCCTCTTTGGGATGTGATAAATTCGGTACCAGTTACACGCGCTTAACAATTCGGAAATGAGTTATTTAATAATTGCTGTATTACATGCATTTTTCGAATAATCTGCAAAAAGAGGATATTTCTCTCTAAGTTTGCAGAAAATTTGAGAACACTAAACGGACGAAGGTCTAGGAAACTAGGCAGTATGTAATATCCTGAGTGGAATATCCGTTGCAGAGATTGCATTTATTATGCCAAATAAGCACGCTATCGTATATTGATTGAGTTAGCTCTCGACCAATCAGACTTTTCATAGTAATTCTAATGTATAATTATTGACGTTACTCGCATATCTATACAGGAAAGTGTGAGAACTATGAGTTCACCTGTGGAAATGGAAAGTGTCTCAGCAAATATCTTCGTTGTTGGGGGGAAATGACTGTGGTGATAATTCAGATGAACAACAGTGCCGTAAGTGTGTTTTTACTAACACTTCTGTCTTATATTGCAATCACCTTTCCTCTGGGCTGATGGCTAACAGTACTTTTATTCAAGTCAGCCTGTACTTACCATGTCAAGATACAAACAGATACTCTCTTTCA